AATTTTTCATAATCCTCCAGTTTGAGTATGTATATGACCACCCGCCTCTGCCGTGCTGCTCCAGCTTCAAGGTAAATTTAGTAGTTAAGTATTCGAGATGTCTAAGTTGTGCATTTCTGTGACTTGCATAATTATAAGTTAGATTAGGGGCCTAGAATATTCTCCTCTCAAATTCTTATAACTCCAGTTAGATCTCCTTCGTTAAATTTAAGTTTCCTCTATTTCTGCCAGCTTATGGCAACCAGAGGAAGAGGCAGGGGTAGAGTCGGACGAGGGGGACGAGCAGGCCGAGGAGGTAGGGGCGGCGACCAGCAGCCAGACCCTCTTAATCAGCAGCAGCCGCCGATCTTTCAGCAGCCCCCACCTCATCAGCATCCCCCTGTCTTCCAGCAACCCCCTCCTAATCAGGGGCAGAACCATGTTCAGATCATGGGTCAGTTTCGTGTTCTGTCCCCGCCAACTTTCACCGGGGCAGACGGGCCACAAGCAGTTGATGACTGGTTCATGAACCTCGAGAGGATCTTTGAGGTCCTTAACTACTCAGACCAGGAGAAGATTGTCTGTTCCCGCTTCCAGATGATAGGGGATGCGGGTAGATGGTGGTCAGATGTTTGGCGCCTTAAGACTACAGCCGAGAGAGATGCTATGACCTGGGAGCAGATGAAGCTCCTTATTTCGGAGAGGTACTACCCTTATCATTTTCGGGAGCAGATGGAGAGGCAGTTCTATGCCCTGCAGCAGGGAAACCTATCCGTAGAGGAGTATGAGCGTGAATTTACCAGACTGAGCCACTTTGCCCCGCACATGGTGGACACTGACTTTAAGAAGTCCCGTCGTTTCCTGAACGGGTTGCAGAAGGACCTTCGCTTCGTGCTGAGTAGCCATGGGTATCTGACCTATGCAGAGACCATTCTGAGAGCTCAGCAGATAGCGGCTAGTCAGCGTCTGGAGTTAGACGCAGCTCAGCAGACAGTGGCTCAGCCCAGGATGATTCAGCCAGTTTCTGTGCAGCCACCATCGTTTCAGCCAGTCCAGGTGCAGCCAGCCGTTTATCAGCAGTCTTCTGCCCAGCCGTCTGGTAGTGGTGGTAAGAGAAACTTTGAAGGCAAGAAGAAGAAGAACCAGCAGAACAAGAAGGGAGGAAATGGTGGACGAGGTGACCGTCAGCCAGCACAGCAGACTCCGAGAGCTCGGCCACCCTGTGGCAACTGCGGCCGGACTCACGGGGGACAGTGCTTAGCTGGTCAGAGGATTTGCTACTACTGCAGGAAGGAGGGACACATGGCCTTTGATTTCCTGGAGAGAGGCCAGGGGCAGCAGCAGCCCCAACAGCAACCTCAGCAGCAGTTTCAGCAGCAGGCCCAGATCCAGGGAGGAGGGGAGAGCCCGTGTGTTTGCCCTGAACCAGCGTGAGGCAGATGCGAACCAAGGTATTATGTCTGGGATGCTTCATATATGTGATGTGTCTGTGTTTGCTTTATGTGATACCGGGGCAACCCACTCTTTTATCTCCAAGAGTTGTGTTGAGGCAGTCGGGATTGAGGGAGTTAGTGTTGTTGATGCTCTCGAGGTTAGCTTGGCCTCGGGAAAGTCAATAGTTACTGATTCTCTCGTTAAGGGTCTGAGTCTTAGTATAGGCGGGAGAACCTTGACTGTCGATGCTTACGTGATCGAGATGCGTGACTTCGACGTGATACTTGGGATGGATTGGCTGAGCAGATACCGAGCAGACATTCGTTGCCTCGACCGAGAGGTGACACTTCATCTTGGAGGAGGCAAAACCATCACTTTCTATGGGGCAAGATCGAGGACAGTTCCGAGGGTTATCTCTACTTTGAGAGCTATGAAGAGCCTTGAAAAGGAGGGTAGCCAGGGTTATCTAGTGAACATTGTTGTGAGCGAGACCCAGAAGTTGACTCTGGATGGAGTTCCTATTATGCGTGAGTACCTGGAGGTGTTTCCGGACGAGCTACCAGAAGGACCACCAGACAGAAAGGTCGAGTTCTCGATTGACTTGATTCCGGGAGCGGGCCCTGTGTCGAAGGCACCTTACCGTATGGCTCCGAAGGAGCTGCAGGAGCTGAAGACACAGATTCAGGAGCTGTTAAATCTCGGTTTTGTGCGACCGAGTGTTTCACCGTGGGGAGCACCAGTCCTTTTTGTGAAGAAGAAGGATGGGTCGATGAGGATGTGCATCGACTACCGAGAGCTCAACCGACTCACTGTGAAGAACAAGTACCCATTGCCCAGGATCGAGGACCTGTTTGATCAGTTGAGGGGTGCCAGTGTATTCTCGAAGATAGGTTTGAAGTCTGGCTACCATCAGCTAAAGATAAAGGAGTCCAATGTTTCTAAGACCGCGTTTCGAACTCGGTATGGCCATTACGAGTTTGTGGTCATGCCCTTCGGATTGAGCAATGCCCCAGCCGTCTTCATG